TTCAAATTCTTAGATTCAGTTATTGTAGTAATCTTAGCATCAAAGGAAGAAGGCAAGCATCTCAAAATTGTATTAACTTTTTCATAGTTAGTTAGCTCTCTTCCTAAAGCATATAGTGAGGTGACAATTTGAGTAAACCTAATATACATGTCAGATATCAATTTAGTAGATTTTATATAAAAAGTTCATAATTATGTAGTAAGATATTTAATCTAGATTGCTTAATCTCATTTGTCCTTTCATAAGTAATACACAATTTATCCCATATTTCTTTACCAGTAGCACAAGTTGAAATGCGCATGTAATCTTCTGATTTAAAAGCACACAAAAAATAGTTTAAACATTTTGCATTAAGTTGTGCTAAATCCCTATCATCAAAAGTCCATTCAATAAAAGGATGTTCAGTTTTTTATCATTGATTTCATGAGTTGGTGGTGAATATCCATCCTTAACAAGCATCCACATGCAATAGTCAATTGATTGTAAAAACATAGACATGTGAGTTTTCCAAAAATCAAAATGTATGTTATCAAACAAAGGTGGTCGGATAATATGATACCCTTCCATAGTATTATGATTACCGAAGTTAGCCATTGATTGAAATTCAAAAAATTTCAAAAACTATATTTTATGAATCTCACTCTAATACCACTTGAAATTTCATCAAGAATATTAAGCCCTTGTGAACTAGCCTGAGGCTAACCAAGAGGGGGGGGGGTGAATTGGTGTTTTAAAAATTTCTCAAACAAAATCACAATCACAACCAAATATCACCACAAAAATAAAGTGCAAAAATTAAATATAAAAAATGCAATAAGAAAGAACACACTAAATTTTATAGTGGTTTGGTCAACTTGACCTACATCCACTCCCTGGAGCTTCTCCTCTAGGCATTGCACTAAACTCAATGTCTCTCCTTTTGCTCCTACAGCAAGGTAGAGAAGCCAGTACAAAAAACTCCTTTCCACCGATCCTGGTGAGGCAGAGAACCCAACTCCTTTTGCTTCCTTCTGAAGCAGGTAGAGAACCCAACCTTTAGCTTCCTCCTGAAGTAGGTAGAGAACCTCGATCAATTGCTAAAATAGACCTCTCTCAAACCTCTAAGAAACTAGGGACAATGACCAAAGAAGATGACTCAGATCCTTGCTTAGATCAACCTTTGTGAAACCCCTCACAAACTCTCCCTCATATGATCCTCTCTCTCTCTTTCTCTCTCTCTCTCTCCCTTGCTCTCCCTCTCCTCTTGGCTCTCTTAAGTCAGGACATCAGCAAAAGATCACCTTTTGAGTAAATAAGAGATCTTAAATAGAAGGACTTCAAATTTTCCCTAATTTGTAATCAATCGTCAAAGATAGTCCAAGATGATCTACCGTACGATCAGTTCAAATTCGACTCAATCAGCCAGGACGATCTGGAAGAATCTATATGATTAGAATTTTTATTTGTTCTGATCATACAAGACGATTGGACATCGTTCTGTACGATTAGTTTAAGCCGCCAAATATTGTCCAGAACATTGCCCTGGATACATGTCTGGACGATGAAAAAAATAACTGATTGTCCCTGATGATTTCATGATCATCTTGGACGATTATTCAAAATGTCAAATATCGTCCAAAACATCGTCTTGATTACATCTCTGGATGATGGAAAAATAACAGATCATCTAGGACGATTTGGTATCGTCCAAGACGATTTGGTATCATCCAGGACGATTAGTACAAAACCATACACATCGTCCAGAACATCATTCTGGTCGTCCAGGGAGAAACTAAGGTTTGTTTAACTGATCATCCCAAACGATCCTACAATCGTCCCGGAAGATCCTGCAATCGTCCAGGACGATATGATCGAGCAATCAAACATTAATTACTTTCCTTAATTACCAAACTAAGTTAAGCATAATTATAATGCATCGTCCAGGACGATGTCCAAAAAAACACATGCCTAAAAGGATTTGGCAGCTGATTCTTTCTGATTTGAACCTATCGTCCAAGATGATGCTAATAACATCTAGAATAATTTGCTTAATTGCGGCTGCCTTAACCAGGCTGCCCTAATTAGGGTTTTTATTTTTAACTGATTGTCCATGATGATTTTGGATCGTCCCAAATAATATGATTAAAAATAGATAACTCTAAAAACATATAGAATTTTTTCCTGAGTGTTTGTGTGCAAGGTTACTTAGCATCAGAATCCACTTTGTTATAATTGACTCAAGAAAAGGTAAAAACTCTTGACTTGCACTTACAAACTAACTCAGTCCTAATCTATCTAATCTTGAGATTGCTTAATTTGCAATTTGATCTTGTAGACCTGAAACATTAGTAGGCAAGGCAGTAGTAGAAAAACATAAGTATCATAAATGTTTGTTATCATCAAAATTATAATTTATGAATCCAGATTCGTGACATTGGAACCCTTAGAGCTATAAGGGGTATACTTAGGAGAGGGAGGGGTCAAAGAAGAGTTGATCAAGAGGAAGGATCTTCCTGATTATGATGCTACATAGAAGCTCTACGAAAGGGTGAAAAATCAATTCCCATTTTTCCACCTTGAGGACAAGATGATACTTTGGGAGGGGGTATTGTACAATTGGATTGGTCCCTTCGATCAAGGAGGGACCGGTCCAGGCAGTCTAACCTGTGGCCCGGCAGTTGCATTTCAGTAGCGCCAGCCTGCTAGTTCGCAGGCTATTAAGCTGCCCCTCTTAGGGGCGGAGTCCACCATCTAAAGCTATTTGCTTGATGTTTATTTAGTCCTTTGGGGTTAATTTTGTATTTGCTTTAAGTAGGAGTTGTATTAGGGCTATGACATTTTTTTTTTTTTGTTGGCTAATGTTCTGAGTGCTCTTTGGTGTCTTGGGCTCTAGCGACGTCTAGAAAATTTTGGAGAGATTGATCCTCCTCTTGAATATAAGATCGTTTGTATCTCGATATTTCTTTTCAATTCCTAGCAATCTAGAATATTTTTCTTGTGTTTCATCCATTAAAACCTAAAAATCTGCTTTATTAATCCACTGAAATGATGATTTCAACAGCTAGTTCCTGTTCTTTCCTAGTGTTTCCTATCAGTAAGCTGAGAATGCTCTTATCATTCAAGATATAAGGGAGCCTAAACTCCAAAAAAAATTGAGGCGATCTTTACGAAGAAACTAATTTCTCCATTGTACGCTCTCCTTGCTTCTACTCACCAATCTATACTTATCAAGCCAAGTTTGTGAAGTTTTAAAAATGAAAATTTAATTCAACAAAGACTTTAATTTAGCCTTTAAGGGGATTATTAAATCTTTTGACAGTTTATTCAAATAGGGATTACAAAATATTTTGAAGGCTGCACGCTCCCACAATTAAACTCAATGGCGAGTCTTTTTCCTTCAAACTATATAAAGAGTATTACGTTCCTCTCCCAAATGATTTTGACTAAATAAGCTGAGGCTGAGTGGAATTTCGTTTGGAACGGTTTTTTTTGTGCTTCTTAAAACAACTTTTTATTGCAATAAGTTAAAATTTTTGTACTCAAAAGTTACGTTAAGAAGCAATGAAAAAACCGTCTCAAACAAAGCTTGAATCGAAAGCAATGGAAATAATTTAAGCTGATATAAATAGTATTTAAATAATATATAAACAATATCATTTAAATAAATAATTAAAAAACGATATGAATAGTAGTTAAGCAATATATAAACCATATGAATTCAATATATATATTAATTATATAAATAAAAAAATAGTTAAATAATGTGTAAACAATATATAAGCTTAAAAATCAAAAGCATAAATATTTTTAAACTTTTTTTATTTTATTTAACTATGAATAAAAATTCAAGAGCAAAAGATTGTTTTGAAAGAAGGGAGAAAAAGATTGTTTTGAACATATTTAAAACATCACAAAATCATTTTTATCATTTTATTTATTTAAAAGACAAATTCCCCTTAAGCAGAACCTTAGTTCATAGTCCTTACAAAGCATATGAAAATATATTCTATCAAAGGTGAACATTTTCATAATTTGTGATCCTGAACATCTCATTAATAAAGCAATTGATCCATCACTATGAACTTAATGATGACTTTATTTTAATATATTTTTCATGGTAAATTCTTTTTTGACAGCATCTAATATCCATTCAACGCCAGAGGTATCACTGCACCAGTTTGCTCTCTACTGAAGGAGAAATGATTTGGTGCAGAATCCGGACGTTGCTCTGCGTTCTGACGCCAATAAAATTGTGACCCATGGACATCCTATGTGGCAATTGTAATTGCCGACATAGATTGCCCTCGTGGAATGCTGATGTGGTTTCAACACTTACACTCCGATAAAGGTAAAAAGTGAAAATGGTGGGAAAATTCCACATTTCAAGTGGCTTTTCGATTTTCAACATCTGACATTCGTTCTCTAAAGCAAAACTCTTCTGAAACTCCTGCATTCTCTTCTTGCAATTTCTGGCATTCACTCAGTTCCTTCTCAGATGGCATCACCTGCAAAAAGAAAGGTAAGTTGCTTGCATGTTTTCTGCTCAAGTTCTGCGTGTTTTATGCTCGTGTTATGCCTATTTTATGCTCATGCTATGCATTCCTAATAGAATATTCGAGAAGAAAACACGCAATCAACTTACCTTTATTTTTGCAGGTGAAGCCATCTGAGAAGGAACTGAGTGAATGCCGGAAATTGCAAGAAGAGAATGCAGGAGCTTCAGAGGAGCTTCGCATTGGAGAACAAATGTCGAATGTTGAAAACCAAAAAGCCACTTGAAATGTGGAATTTTTCTGCCATTTTCACTTTTTACCTTTATCGGGGTTTAAGTGTTGAAGCCATGTCGGCATCCCACGAGAGAAATCCATGTCGACAATTGCCAAATAGTCTATCCACATATCACAATTTTATTGACGTTCGAATGCCCCACACCAAATAATTTATCCTTCAGTAGGTGGTTTACTTTCTCTTTGTAGCATCCAAATATTAAGTTCCTTAAGGTTCTCCAACAATGTCTCAGGTAAACAAAAACAAGTATGCCACTCCAAATCTTGCCTTCTCATGGTTTGGGAAGATGTAATATACCTGTTTACTACAAAGAAGAATACAGCAAGATCCTATAGTAACGAGCCTCTTTCCAACAGCCCTAATTACATCAGCAAAAATTTTAACTCACAGGTCAGACCATAACAATATACCTACCTTTCCTGTGGGCTAAGACAGTATTGCTGTGCATGCTGAAACTATGTGGGACAATTGAATCTTTAATCGAAGCAACACAACAATTGCCTCTACGCAGGCGTAGGGGCCTTGTAGTCGAGCATCTCTCTAATGTTCAGTTTAATAGAAGGTCCCATGGACGAACAAATGTGTGCACTTTTCCAGTAGACTCCCTTTGCACCAGGAGGCTTGTTTACTTCTACAGATCTCTACAGATGAAAGCAGCAGCGTAAATTAGCTTAGGAAAGTGTAAGGACTCCACCGACCCAATAGAGAAGCAATGCCAATGATCGTGGAAGGACGATACATAAAAGAAAGGCCTGCCCATGGTGCGGGGGAAACATCCCCAGCCACATAGAGTTTGGTAATGATAGAGAAATATAATTATGAGAGAATGAGTGGGTGAGAATTACATTTTAATATTATATTTTATGGTTAGTCAAAAATAACATGTATTTTAATGTTACAACTCATTTTCTCATAATTACATTTCTCTGTCTAACCGGACTTCATGTGGAAATCCTTATGCAATGCTAGGGGTAGTTTCTAGGAATTTTTATTCTGTGCGGAGTGCGAAGCATCCGAAGACCAATAAAAAAACGCAACGTCACTCCATATATGTACCGCGCTCGGTACCAAGCGCATAACTAGACGGGAGAACCGTCTGGTGCCCGCACAGAATAATAGCTCCATTTCTAGGGCACCCTTGTGTTTGTTATCTACAATCTTCTGACATGATCGAAAGCACCGGTTCTCTTCCAAGTTCCATGGTGGAGTATTAACACAAAGCGATGAATATAAGGTTCTTCATAATTGAAATTACAGAAATGATAGAAGGAAACATACAACTGCAGCCATAAAGTTAACAATAAGGTCCTCTTCTGGAAAGTTTGCCTTTCCAAAAGGCAAGTGAACAATTCCAGTTTTATCTACACGGTATTCAACTTTTCCTTTCTTGAACTCTTGGATAGCCTGGAAAGGATGAGAACCATATCAGAGGTTGTATACAGAGAATCCTAAATAATAGTTGTAATTTATTGCATAATTAGAAGAAAGCCCCATGCCCGGTAAAGTTACAACAACAACTTCAAGCCTTTGTCCCATTACGTGGGGTCGGCTACATGAATCTTTTTTTGCCATTGTGCCCTGTTAAAAGTCAAACTCTCATTTAAATCTAATAAAGAAAGATCATTTCTAATATTTTTTAATCAAGTCTTTTTAGTTCTACCTCTACCTTTCTTAACATAAATCAAATCTAATACCTCAAGCCCGATAAAGTTAATTGAAGCAAAAGTTTAAGTTTCCAGAGAGGGCATTAATTAGACATTGAACAGCTTTTTGCCATATGTAGCATACTAAAGAGAGCAAAATGTCGTCTGAGACATCTGAACACAGTCGTTCTTAAGGTTGGCTCTATTTTACCAACAAGACTTGCAGAAATTAAGATATTCTACAATTAGGAAGATAATACAGAGACTTCCTTTTTTTTTTTTTGAGGGGGTGGGCAAGGAGGTGTGGAGATGAGGAGAAAGGTAGGGGGTGGGCGGATGGACATGGTTGGTTCTAATTGTGAACCCCAGGGTTAACTAAGAAAGCTCTTACAATTTTATCTTAGACTTTGGCAGATATGAGGCAGGCAGGGAGTTCATTCATGCTGCTTCGGAACATTCCATGTCATGATAGCTTCTCCTTGCATAGATTACTTGCAGAGATTATGCACAATTTTTGGTCGGGTAATATCCTCTGTTTAAAATTGCGCAACAAGAGGCGCGCCTCTACGCAATTGCCCCAAATACGCCTCGAGGCTTACGCAATTTTCCTCTTGGCAGAGGCGTAAGCCTCACCGGATCTGAGGCGCGCCTCTAAGGCGCAATTGCGCAACTATAGGTTAGGCGTACGCCTCATCAACCTGGTCCCACGGTGGTTTAAAATTCACCGCACCAATCAGTATAAGCTATTTGACACTGTTTAAACTTCCAGTACTCGGTACATGCTCGATACCGAGCCAGTACCGCTCAGTACCGTACATGCTTGGTATTTTTTAAACGAGTTGAGCTCGAGCTTATTAATCGAGCTCGAGCTCGAGTTCGAGCTCATTGAGGGTTAAACGAGCCAAGTTTGATAAGCCAGATACTCGATACTGATTTATATGTTCCTTCTTAATTGTATTTTGGGAGTTCTGATATACTATAATTTTATGGTTTTGTGCTTTAGAACATGCTTTTATTGCATCTTTTTTCTTAATTTCCACTAAATCCACTTATCATTTAGATGTTTTTATTGTATGATTGAATCTTGCTATTATTTACCTGTTAAAACCCTTAAATTCTCATTTATGCAATTCTGCTTCTGTGAGGCTTACGCCTCAGACCGCCTGGAGGCTTATGCCTCGCCTCACGGACGAAAACCGCCTCGAGGCTTATTTACGCAATTTTAAACCTTGGTAATATCTATGGCTTACTATGGTTTCTGCATAAAAGAAACTGTATCTAATAGATTGGTGGGTCAGTTTGGGTCCTTCGGGACATAGTCACAAAAATTCAGAACGAGATTTGCGCAAAAAACTTAACCAGTCACTGGTATTGAATTTTAAAATGAGTAAGAAAACTTTTCAAGCTGAAAAATAAAATATTACAAAGCTGATTTATATAGAGCATCAGCATTTAAAATTTAACCTGAAATAGTATACATTAGAGAGCAGACCTTTCATCCCCTTGTTAAATATAATGGAAGAGAATATTCGGAATATATTTGAATTCGACAAGCAAAGTAACAATAATAATAAACACGTTACTAACAAAGGTAGATGCACAAGTAGCAATAAGTCCGCCGAAAAAAATAAAATACAATAAAATTATGAGATGAAATAAAAATAAACAAAGACAGCAGTTTCAAACCATACCAGAGGTATATCTGCAGTAACCGTACCAGCTTTCGGATTTGGCATCAACCCTCGAGGTCCTAAAAGCTTTCCCAAACTGGCTACCTAAGAAAATTTAAGCCACATCCCATTATGAACAAAAAAGGAATCTAGCATCCTCAATTGCAAAAGGAAAAGAGGAAAATCAGGAAAGAATGATACTTCAGTTGACAATTTCTGCTAGCATGCTGCAGGGTGTTATTAAGATCATTAAAAATCCAACTAATGACTATAAAAATGAGCAATGAGCGCGAAGATGAAAGACCAATGATGTTAATCCTCTGCGCGAAAAAACAAGGGGAACAAACTTGATCACTTTTTTATGAAAATATGACCACTGATCAAAAACATGAGAAAAACTAGATAGCATGTACTTCCCTTATCCAAAAAGAATAACTTCATCCTTCTTTCTAAAATTAAAAATATATATATGGATATTCAAAACAATATAAGACGCATACTAAATAAATTCCATTTCATTTTAATGCTGGTACATGATAAAATCATTAATCATTTATCTCTTTATTTGTATCATCCCTGATGGCACCAACTTTGTGTTTGATGCATAACTAAAACAATGATAAATGCTATGAAGTTTCATAGCTTCCTAAATTTTAGGGTGGATCAAGTTGAATAGGGGTGTCAAAACTTGACCTGATCCGAAACCCGACCCAAAAAATTCAGGGTTCGGGTCAAATTATTCCGCACCAATCCTGCATCCAGTGTCTCACGTCGCATTTGGTGCCTCACATTCGGTGTCTCGCACCCAAGTCCGGACCGCCCAGTTCTGATTCTGCTTCCCGCAGGAACCCTGCAAGGGCCGCAAGGTAGCCGTCAAGAACGCCACCTGCAAGGCCAATGCGGCGGCCCTCTCTTTGCCTGAGGTGCCGACATCCACTCCGCAAATCCCCTTGCAAGCTGCCACCACCGCATAAACTTCCCCCGAGCCTAGAGAATCTGGACCGTTCGAGGAAGAGGAAGAAGCCTGCATGGTACAAGTCGGGTCAACCCGGTAACCCACTCGGGTCAAATTTAGGTTAGAATTCTGGACCCATTTGCAAAAATGGGTCAAATTAGGGTCAGCTCGTTTAGATTCGGGTCAATTCGGGTTGGACCCAAACCCGACCCATTGACCAGTTTTGACACCTCTAAAGTTGAATGACATTGATATACAATTGTGTGATGTCCTATTGCAAATTTAGCATAAACAAAGAATAAGATCAAACAATAGAAAGAAAGTTTGTTCGAATTATTTTATGCAATGTAAAATAAGAGAAAATGCTTTCTATATAGGAGAATATTATCTTATTGCATGGTACTATTTATATATTTTTCTATTTTAACTATCCAATATTAATTATATACGTCATGTGAAATAAGAAAAGATATTTTTCATATAGAAGAATATTCTCTTATTGCATAGTATCATTTATGCATATATTTTTTATTTTAACCATCCAATATTAATTCTAAACAGCATGTCATCATCTACATATATGTTCGTTTGCATAATAGAAATAAATCCAAGATACTTATAACGCATGGACTTCAATGATATTCCATAAATATTGATTTATAATTATCAATTGTCAATCAACTAAAATTGCATATCACATAAAAAGATTTTTGATCAACTATATAAAGATATTATCTTGAGAAAACTATCTATCTTGTTCAACTTTTATGCATTTCATGAGAGGTATCACTTCCAAAAACCAAAATATTTTCAAATGAGTAAAAGCCCCAAAGTCCCCCAACAATTAGTAAATGACCAATTTAATCCCAAACTTTCATAATGCCCCAATTTAGTCCCCTGACTATTAGAACATGTCTCAATTTGATTCAAGGTCAAAAGTAACAATTAAATTTAACCATGTTTATTAATTATTTACTCTTGTTATTTAGTTGATTAACTTTCATTATAATTTTGTATTTAGTTTAATATGATAAATAACAAAAAAATATAAAAAATAATATAATCTCACACATACCATACCAAAAAACCCTCATATTTAATTGTTGGGGTAAATTTTAATTGTTATTTTTAGTCTTGGGACTAAAGTAAGACATTTTCTAATACTCCGAGGACTAAATTGGGTTATCATAAAAGTCTGTAACTAAATTAGACATTTACTAATAATCAGAGGTTTATTTTGAGCTTTTACTTAATTTCAAATAGCATACACCAAGTTGCATCACTTAAAATATATTTTTTAAACATCTCTATAATCAATATAAAGAGATATCATCTTAAAATAAATTATTGAAATAATCTTACTATGATTGATTTTTTTAATTTATGACTAATTATAATGCTACCAACTGCTACATCACACATGCATATCATAAATTCAATCTACCCTAACAAAATGTTCTCCTTGTTGACAGCAAAATTCCTCAGCAACCTTGATCATATACCTTTTTAGCATCAATAAACATTGTATGAAAATCATTTCATTACTCTCCAAAGTATCTTAGTACAAAAATTTTGTTTGTATCCTATCTTCTTAGCATAAAATCAAATTGATTTGCACATACTGATGTAATTTAATCAAACCTATCTACCCATGCCTCACTTCCTATCACAAAAACTTCGTTAAATGATTCATAAGCTTAATCTTCCTATAGTTAACTTATTATTGAAGACTACCAAAATGATTCTTTTATAATCATTTTACTAATTTGTATTCAATTAGCATTCTGTATTTAAATAAATTTTCTAATATCTTCAATAACTTGTCAAATCTCAATAGCTAAATTCAATGTCAATTCAATTTTATTTCATACAATATGATTTTTTTACTCAAAATAGATAAAATGTGAAACGAGTATATACGTGAAAATGTTGGAGTACCTCCAGTGGCAAATAAGATTAGAGAGAGTCGCCTTAGATGATTTGGTCACATAAAACGTCGGCCTACTAAATACCCGCTTGGGAGAGTAGATGTATTAGATTTCTCCTATGTTACGAAAGGTAAAGTAAACCTAAAAAAACTTGATTAAAAAATATTAGAAATGATCTTTTTTTTATTAGATTTAAATAGGAATTTGATTATTAACAGAACACAATGAAAAAAAATGATTCATGTATGATGTAGCCGACCTCATGTCATAGGATAAAGGCTTGCTGTTGTTGTAATAGAAACATTATGCAAGCTATATGATTTTCTTAATTTTTCTCTTCTAAAATGTTTCTCATTTAATAATTTCTTAAAAAAAATTTCGTTTTTCCTTTGATATTTTCATGTTTTCCTAAGATTAACCGCTCCAATTATCAATTAAGTTATCAATAAGTTTATGCAGTAGATTCAAATTTCACTCATTTAGATGATGAAAATGACAACCATCATGTTGGATTAAATGTCCAATAGATTTACATGTATATAATGACATTTTTATAGCTAAGAATGTGATAGAAATCCTAATAAAAATTTTCAAAATATCTGCCTATTTTGCTCGATCAACCCATGAAACCGAGAGGTTAATTACAAGTCATTGGAAGTAAAACCTAATAAAAACCTGAACATAATATTGTTGTTCAACAAAATCTCCACAAAAACAGCAAGTATTATGAGTAAATCATAAACATAACCGCCCATACATACAACCTATGGTCTGTTTGGGACAACTACAGTATTTTGTAAAGTTGGTTGTGAAGCTGTTATGAGGAAATTAACTTTTTTGAAACCTACTATGGATATATAAGTCCTTTTTAAAAAAATTGAATAATTGATTTCTTAAAGTTAGCAATTCTTGTTGTAAAAAGTAGGTTCTTACCACCCAAATTTTTGAAAAAAAAAAGAGAAAACAACAACGACTAGGCAAATAGAATTGTAGTTGCAATCTGAAAAATAAAGTAATGAAAAAGCTATTCCAAATAGACCTCTAGTCTATCTAAGAACTACTTTTTTCTAAGAAGATATATGGTTAGAACTATAAATATTACAAAAATAATATTTTCAACATAATGGAAGCAATCAGGTCATAATTACTAGTTCAAAGAACCAAGCTGACAATTTTGACCCCAATTGGTTTTCAAAATGCATGAACGTAAGACAATTAATTGTTAAGTTTGCAAATTTGACAAAATGTTCATGTTACCTAGTAAGATTGCTTATTATAAGAAATACAAAGAAAAGCGTTCCTCAGGAAACACAGAAACATGCATGCCAAATAATGTAATGTGGAGTCGTCAAATGCTAAGCCACAGAAGCATGCAATGTAATACTCTAATGTGATCGCGTCTTGCAATCCATGGAGTTGATCATTTGCTAGCTGAAGTTATCATACAGCAGAGGCAGAAAGAACATTATAATAGTAAATGCTAGTCATAAGAAAAGACTGGCATTTGAAATTCATAATTCTTATGACAAAATTGACCTTGAATGTCAGCATACATTTCAATGACCGCACAAAACAGGGCATAAAATCATATGCCAAAACAGGCAAGAAACAAATAATTAATCGCTGCAGTATTAATCAAGTCTATCATAACAAGCATAGGAACACATCATGAATGATTGATAAATAAAGCTCATCATTTTATACAAAAATATTCCATGGTACTCTGCTAAGCCTATCATCATCATCAACCTTATCCCAAATATTTGAGGTAGGTTTTATAAATCCTTATTTTTCAATCATTTATGTTGTGTATAACTAGATGTGTTAAACTTATATTTTGCAAATCATTTAAAATAAGTTTTATCCATATTAACTTAAGTTTGCCCCCTTCATTTATAATCAATCAACACCAATCTAATGGGTGCATTTTTTCCCTTTATTACACATGTCTATTTTCAATAATCTTATCTTCAGTAAATACGACTTCAAACATCTCTACAACATGATAGCTCTTTACTTATCCTTCTTAGTTTTGTCATATAATCTTAAAGATTTCCCAACACAACTTAGCTATCAATAACTTTTATATTGTCCAATATTATGATCCAAACAATATAATTGGCCTAATTATAATTTATAAAAATTAACTTTAAATCTACCCTCTTATCACATGATACTGAGAAATTCTTATTTTAAACACCCAATCTCAACTTGAGTAATTAATATCCTTATTATTGCTTGAACTCAAATAGTTTGCGATGCACTCATATAGCTTAATGTTGACATCAGACATTCCTTGTCAATAACCTCAATACTTGATTCTTGAATCTCTATCACTTTAGTAACCACAAGAAATTCATTATTGTGGGGCCCAATTTTCTCTCAAGGTCATCATTCTACATGGGAATCATATTTGGGGAAGGCGGTTGGGAAGAAAAGGAAGAAACAGAGTCCTTTATTCTGCTAATGATTAGTGGCTCAACAAACTTGTTAAATTCTAAAAGACTTTACAAGTTTAATGTATGTCTCACTACAACACCCTCAACTCTTTTCACCATTAAAGCAAGGGCTTGGACATCTACCTGCGCTATGTAATGTCTAAGACATAGATGGAAGTGGAAGTACAATGGGAGCACTCTACTAGCCATTTAACTCATCAACTTCAATTTCATCATTATCATCACCACCCACTATTATGGTAGTATTAAAAGTTTGAAATATAGGATCTGAACACATGAAGAAGTATTCTTTTAAGAAGAAATCTTCAAGAGAGTCATTCATGATCTTAACTCCATAAGTCGATAACCAAAATTCCATTTCAAAAGATTCACCTCATATTAATTCCATGTCAATTAATTTTAATTCATCACCATTTGAGCACATCGTAAGTCGTGTACCTAGAAGAATCCAGCATACATAAGGTTTACTCAATGAAGACAAAAAGATAATGGGTTATTCAATGATAAGACAACAATGAGTGAACATTTCAAATCCCTAAAAGTTATTTATAGAATTTCAAAATTATGTGTGGGTGGGGATGCAATCCTTGAAATTTAACCATAAATCAGAAATCATCTCCACCACACAAGTTGACATTAACACTCTAAAATCATTAATGTTGAGACATTTCAACGTTAATGGTAAAACTTTTGAGAACATTCTCGAGAACTCATCCTCAGGTTACTCTCGAGTAACACCTGATTATTTCTTATGAATCCTCTAAGGTGAATCATAAATGTTAGCATTCATCACATTGAAGATGCTAAAAAGTTATGATACTTTGAAGCATGACATTACACACCAGTAAATGAACCAAGCGAGCATTACAGTCACCATATAAACTCTACATAACAACGAATGATAGTTCTTGATGTTATATCTACTTTATTCAATGGAACTTCAGTTCATCTACCGAGGACAAGCATTAATATAAATATAGTAGTTAGGGCTTTTATAAAGAGATGATAATCTACGGAGCATTTAGAAATCACTAGCACATAGATGCTTTACTAATCTCCTATCTCAAGCCTATTAAATTACATTCTGTAGATAAAATAGATAAACCAATTACATTCTGTTCTTCTTAGATAATAAACATGTTACTTTGACTCGCCTCACAATGAACATGAATCACCAGACTAAACCACTAAAATCATTGTCTACTATCTTTACTGTTATTATAATTTCTAAGCCTTTTTGTAGAGAACCACAAGTATAGTTCTTTCTCAATTCTCCCCTTCAAACTTGAAGCCATTGAGACCTTGTTTCTAGAGATAACAAGATTATACCATTCAAAATCAATTTGAGCTATCCAGACAGAGTTTAGAAATCTTTTATTTTATGTTTTATTTCCAACCCTATCTATAAGGCTTAGTACAACCTCATTGTAATGATTGTTTTAGTTATTTAAATAGAAGCGTCTTATATATTTTTCCTGTTATAATTTTAATTCCTTTTGAATTTCTTTAGATTCGATAGGAGACCTGGTGGGTTCAATTGGGCTTCAACTCTAGGACATTAGGTCCAAGTGCCAAATCAAGGCAATGGGTTCTGACGCCACTACCATTGGCAACCAAGCTCGATCCAACCAAATTCTTTAAGCCATGCATTCACGTTGCTCAAATCCTTAGAGTAAAATACAAATGTTGTTTGGGCATCATATCTGGAGAGGCAATTAGTTTATCAAAATCCATGAATCCACCTTTAATTTGTTCAATTAAGTCTTCTCCCCCAATTATATCAGCTCCAGCGTTTTTTGCTTCATCAACCTTTTCCCCTATAGAAATCAAAGCAATAAAAACACTATCTCAGCACAACCAAAAACAAAAATTAAGTTAAAATATAATGCAAGTAGAGCTAGAACATAAGGCGACAATGTAGTCAAACAATCTTTTTTTTTAAATTTGAACAATGCTATGTCAACAAAAAATCTATCTAGCAAGCATGAATTTCATGAAATTTCATATCTCAAAGCATTCGAATATTGGTAATAAACTTCAACAATTGATTATGAAATCATTTAAACTCCCATTTTTATAAATTATATTCAAGACAATATGGTTCAACAAGACAAATCTAATTGTACAAAGAACAACTTAATCCAAGTTCAAATGAGTTCAATCAAGCACTATAAGCAAAACTAAAACCTTCTTGAGACAATTTGAGGTGTCAAATGTCCATCAAATTTCTTATTTTTACAATTGAACAAGTGTCTTGACAAGACAAATCCTAAAAATCCAAGCCCCTCAATGATGGCATTAATATTGTAAGAACCAGCCCTAATTAAAGAGCACGCGACCAAGATCGAGCAGGCAAGCTGGAACGCGAGCGAACGGTCGAGCAAGCACGCAAGCGAGCTGGCAAGCCGTCGAATGAGCAAACGAGTTAACTAATATGATCGTGAACAAACATAGGTGACTACTCACAAAGGATAACTCCATCTACTCTGTCCAATATCGGTAAATGAGAGAAAATCGAGAGAGGAGACAGTGACCGAGAGAAAGAAGAAAGATTTGTTCGTCGATTTTTTTTTCCATAAAATTATTCCGAATTTAACCTAAGAAGATATTAGAGGCAAAGGAGGCAAATTGGTTCAATAAAGGATTCCAAATCAATTGAGAGGGGAAAGAATTTTACCAAATTCTTCTGATATTAAGGAGGAAGTGGAAGTATGTTGCTTTAATCTTCATTTTTGTCTTATTTATATTTAGAAAAGAAATACATGTGTAAATTTCAATTCCGATTGAAAGGATAGTATATGATTGTTCAGTAGAAATAAAGTTTGTTTCTGAAAATCTCGATTTGGCAAAGAAAAAAAAGAAACTTTCATGTAAACTACGATAACTATTTAAATATAATGTTTGATCATCTTTAAGAAGTAGAAATTTAAATTTATAAAGTGGAGTGTTCAATATTATATTTAGTGATATTTAATATTATTTTGGACAGGGGAAGTCTGCAAAAGTCCTTCAAGGAAGTTAAGTGTTGCATTAATGAAGGTTATTGAAAAGCTCAATTGGAAAAAGCTCAAGCAGTTGGAAAAAATTTAGAAGTACAAAAGTAACCAAAATGAGTAATTACAATTATTTTATAGCAACTACAATTTTCTTTCATTTTATTGTAATTATTATATGTCATGGCATTTATTTTGACTGAATATTTAATGTATAAAATGAATCAAAATGAAAAAAATAGCAAATTCATCTTCTTTATTCTATTGTTATTATTAAACATTATATCATGCTCAAGTACTTGTGAAATTTAAATGTTTGATAGAAATGACCAAAATATCCCCTTCAAAGATATATAATAGCTCATATAGCTAAATATTCAAGGGGTAACTTTTCTCAGAGAGAATTTCTAGACTTTAAAAAATTACATAGCTATGCTTACCACAACCCGATGTTTCTTGCCAACAAGCACCTATGCTTGTTGTCACCACCGCTGAATGCAGAGCTTTGAAGAACACCAACAGTCGCTAACTACATCACCTGGCGCCTATCAAAGACTGACATCCAAAGTTCTCCAATTAGTGACAGCTGCACCCATTACATTAGTTGTATGACCTCCCCTCTTATAAAGAGAATGTTTGAGTTGATCACCAGACATACTTGACCTTCAATGTTCCTTTTTTATGGTTGTTAGGAACCCACAAACATTTGATATTTGCCAATCACCACCCTGTCTTCTCAATCACTTAATTTCCCCTCTTAATAAGAAAGGCAACCTATCTGACTATTGACCGTCACCTGCCAGCATCAAATGCCTAACAATAGTTAGCGTCTGATATATGTCAGCTATTGATGTTTAACGCCTATCATTTGGTGGCCAATCTCCCCTTCGATGATGAGACTAACCAAACCTTTTGCCTAATATCCTCAACCACCGTCATGCCTCATTGACCATCGTCTGACGCCTATTAAAGATTCATGTTTGATAAATCGGTCATTGACATTCATTGCCCATCTACTGATTGCTAAAATCTCATCTCCTATAAGAAAAATGATCGAGTTAATCGCCTGACCCATGAAATTCTATGTCAATCATCGCCCAAATCCCAATGACATCTAGCATTTGTTAACCTCCGACCTCCAACACCCATCTTCTTGGTTTCTCAATCTCCCCTCCTATAAGAAGAGTGATTAAGCTAACCACCCAACACCTGCCACCCAATGCCATACATCTATCAAACATCGACGTCTAATACCCATTCTCCTGGTTGTTTAGTTTCCCTTCCCACAACGAGAATGACTAAGGTGAATGCTCAACCTCGTCTGGCCTCTAATGTTCCTCATTGACCATCACTCAACGCCCACAAAAAACTAGCATCCACCTTCCCAATTTCCCACTTTCATCTATTATAAATGTAAGAATTGTCTTCTGGTTTGCCCAATCTCCCCTCTTATGAGGAGAATGATCAAAATGATCACCCGAACTACAATACTCATTTACAATGGTTCAATGCCTATAAATGACTAACATCTAACTTCCAATGGCCATGAAGCATGACACACATCTTCCTGGTTATTCGATCTGCTCTCCTATAAGAAGAACAACCAAACTGTCTAGCATAGCCTAACCTCTAGCATTCCTCAATGATTGTTTCCAAATGCACATCAACATTCAAAGTCCACTATCCACCAAAGTCTGATGCTCAATCTCTCCTCCTACAAGGAGAACAATTGAACTAATTTCTCTACCTCAACATTCCACATACACAATCATTTGACGGCCACTAATTTTTTATATTTAACCCCCGTGTTTTCGATATTCCCTTGTTATAAAGAAGATGACTAATATGATTGCCAATCATCCATCGACTTCTAACGTTCACGATCAACCATACCCCAACATCTACAAAGACTAACACCAGATATCTACCAATCATAGACATCCAATGCCCATTTTCTTGACTGCCAAATCTCATATCCTATAAGGAGAACAATCAAGTTGATCGCTCGATGTCATTTGACCTTCTACGCTCCTTGTTGACTTTTGCTAGATAACCACAAACATTTGATGTTGCCAGTCATTGACATTCAATGTAAATCTTCTGAGTTGCCTAGTCACCCCTATTGTAAGGAGAATAATCAAATTAACAGCCCAACCCCCGACATATCTTATAGGTCGTTGCCCAACTCATCCCGACATCCTAAAGTTAATAACACCTAATGACTATCATCTTAATTGCTAGTTCTCACTCTTATAAAGAGAACAACCAAGTTAACCATCCAGCATCGCTCGACCTCCAATATTTCTCATCGATAGTAATCTGCCTCCTATCAATGACTAACGTTTGACTTCTAGCAACCACTTATGTCTGGTATCACCTCCTATAAGGAGAATCATCAAGTTGGCCGCTAGAGGACACCTAAACTATGATGCTCCTTGTTGGTTGTCGGTAGGCACCTACCAACAATTGACAATCAAGAGTCATTAATCATCTTACTAGCCGCTCGACCTCTTTTGCTATCATAAAAATGATTAAATTAGCTACCTACTATTACCCATTAATAACATAGACATCTCACGACTCCTCTTTCTACCGTCATAGGAAAAATCTTCTACAATTATTTTATACTACATTGCATTAATGCCTTCTTCATTTACATGAAATGATGCTCTTGTAATCATGTTGTTACACTAGTGGAACAACTTCCAACAAGGTTAGACTCGTAAATTTTGCTTTTCTTGAGTTTCCCATATAGAAAATATTGTGTCTCTTAAGAGTTGCATTAAATAATCTGTGTGCACGAGACTTTCATTCAACATAAACAAAATAAACAATTCCTCTATTGTCGCAATTATTTCAGCACGCAATAAACAAGGATAACTAGCATTCACAACCACGGCATTTAGTTACCCGCCTTGAGTAAGAACAGCAACTCTAACAGTTTGCCCGGTCCCCTTCGGCAAATTAACCTGCAAACCCAGGACACAATCGAAAATGATGAATCACTCAAACTGTTACTAAAATCATACCAAGCGTTTGCTCATAGAAAAAATAATAACAACAAGAAGCTTAAAATGCCCACCGTAGCCCTGAGCTGCTGATCATTATACTTGGGGTCAATATTGAGCCGGAAGTGCGCCTCCACGGACTCCACAAACCTAGTGTTTGACATCTGCTTCAGCAGCGACACAGCAGTCGACACATCATACTCCTTCTTGCTCTCCCTCAGCTTCTGAATCTCCAAGAACCTCTTCGAACGCCCCTACAGAAGACCTCAGCAAAAAAGAGTTAACGCTCGAACTAAGCATTGCCATAGCGATATCTTTTGTATGATCAAATTGACATCAATGCATACTCTATCCCTCTTGAGGGGCAGCGCCGCCTTGCCTGCCTTGGGCTTTGTGGAGGGCTGCGAAGCGGCAGATTCTTCCTCGGTATCGATATCAATATCTGCATCAGCAACAGCGGAGGCAGCCTCGATGCGGGTTGATTGCGACGCGGACCCTCGGGAAGTTACAGTAAGAAAGTTATTCCAGCGATTGAGAAAGAGTGAAGGGTAAGACAGGGAAGAAGAAGATGACGGAAGGATGAAAAAAGACGAGTGTTTCGGATTCGTGAGACTGCTGGGAGTGGACGAAACGTTGGGCAGAGTAGTAACGGCGGCAGCGACGACAGCGGCCATCGTTGCTGGTTCGTGTTGCGTTGCTTCCCACCTCTTGTATTGTAGATGGAGATCGATGGGGATAAGAAAGAGCAATCTGCTCTATGCACGGGTACATATTGATTCGGATGACTACTAAACACCCACTAAAATAATTGAAACTTAGTGAAAATATTATGCTTTTTTCATTTAAATCCATAAAGCTTTATTTTATGAAGGCGCATGCTAATCATTAGAATTAGCAAAAACAGCATATTTATTTAAAATTTTAAAGAGAGGCTAATTCGACAAAAAAATTTACCCATTTAGAATGGTCCAAAATATTATTTTGAATCGTTCAGCTTAAGAAACTTTTATTCTATCCAGTGAACGTACGCAGAGGAAGGTTCGGTTTTAGGCAAAAAAGCGCCTGTACTGAGAACCGAACCTTCCTCTGCGTATGTTCACTGGATAGAATAAAAGCTCCAGCTTAAGATAGAGAAATTTGATAGAGTAGAAAGATAAAGAAATAGAAAGAGAGATAAATAAGAGAGAGGCGAGGGAGAGTAAGCGAGAAAGAGGGGAAAAAGATTAAACTTTTTCATACTTATATATTATTTTTAATATTTTAAATAATAATTTAAATAATATTTTAATTATTATTTTAAATATAAAAAGTATAAAAATTTTATATTATATTTAAACAATAAATTTATGTAATATTATTAAAAAAAGTTAAAATATAAGTTAAATAATTAAAAAATAGTTAAATTAGAAGTTAAATTTTAAAATAAACTAATATTTATTCTTTTAAATATATTTTATCTAATATTTAAATCTTAAATATCATTCTTAAATATTATTTAAAATATTAAATATATTACCTAAAATTTTCTTTCTAATATTTTATTTTTATATATTTAATAATATTACATAAATTTTGTTAGTTAAATAATAATTAAACAAAAACTATTTAAATATTGTATATATTATTTTTAAAATATTTTATATGTTTCTTAGATTACATTTTTTCATACAAAAACATATAAAACTGTTTAATATTTTATATATTATTTTAATATATTAAATATCAATTTAAAAATTATTTTAATTATTATTTAAACAATAAAATTTATGTAATATTATTAAACATCTAAAAAAATTAGAAAGAAAATTTTAAGTTAAATAATAGTTAAATATTATTTTAATTATTAAAAGAATATTTAAGAATTGATGTTTAATATTTAAATATTAGTTAAAATATATTTAAAATAATAGCAAATATTAGTTTATTTTACATATTTAACTACTATTTATCTATTTTTTAATTATTTAACTTATATTTTAACTATTTTTTTAATAATATTATGTAAATCTTATTGTTTAAATATAATATAAAAAATTTATACTTTTTTATATTTAAAACAATTATTAAAATAATATTTAAATTGATATTTAAACTATTAAAAATAACATATAAAATATAAAATAATATATAAGTATGAAAAAGTTTACTCTTTTTTTTTCACCCTCTCTCTCCCCACCTCTCTCCCTCTATCTCTCGTTGTAGACTCTATCCCTCTCTCTAGATGTACCCTCCCCTATCTCTCTCTTCTTTCTCTCTATCTTTTTGCTCTCTCCAACTCTCTCTCCCTATACTCTTTACTATGTGATATTTCTCTCTCTTAAGTTGAACACATCACAATATTAGGCACATTCAGAATGTACGGAATCATTTGGCATAACCTAAATGCACCATTTTTTTTTGGAAAATTGCCTCTTCTAAAATTTTTTTAATAAATATGCAACTATTGCTAATTCTATTGATTATCACACTCCTTCATAAAATAAAGTCAATCCATAAATTAGAGCCCACGAATCCATCATAATTTTTGAATACTTTATTCAACACCTTACACCTACATTGAATAAAATCTTATAATGTCTAGTTTTTTGGACATTTATGTCAATTATGATAAACTCATGCACACATCACAATGTAAGACTCAAATTTAAGAGCTCTTGATTGGTAGCCAAAGCCCTCTTTTTATCACATGGTTCATATCCTTTCAAAATTATTTTGCTAAAGCAAAATGGATGAATTAAGAATTCATTATTTTATTCGCTCTTCACATTATTCCTTCTATTCATGTGCACAAATTTCTATTTGGTTGACATTTGAGTGATTAAAATCCTCTCAATTTATTTTTCTAGACGGGTCTTACTTATTTCACATATATCTTACGCACAATCTAAATTAAGCTCCCTTTCACTCCAACATGTCTTTTTTTTGCAATTTACTTCATTTGAGGCAATTTTCTATTAAGTTTATTTTTCTAGATAAGTCTTACTTATTTCATATTTTTCTTCTTCTCCGCATGTGTGTTTTTTATTCATCATGAATTTCCTCTTAATCAATCATAGGTTTTTCATGACCCTTACTCTTTCTTATTCATCCTTGACAATGACTCATAAGATTATATGTGTTGTTCATTTTTTATTATTTAATATGTTGTGTTTCAATATTTGATTGTAATCATTGAAGTAAAATGTGTTGATATTATATATCTCATGACCAATTTTAGATATTTTGATGATAACAAATATATGCTTGGATGTTTTAATTTGTGTGATAAATATTTTAGATGTAATGATTTTTATGGATGTGCATAGTAATTACTTATGTGATTTACATTGCACAACTCAAGTTTAAATGTTTAATCAAATTTTGAGCTTAAGATGGACCAAGATGGACAACTTGAAGGACTTTTATATTATCATATGAGTATGTTAGTGGTCTATTAATATTTACTTGCATGGTTTTATTTGCTCACAATCTAAATATCTATTAAAATAGTTTATATATTAATCTTGATATAGAAATCTAAAAGATTCCATTATAAAATAATTTTTATAAGCTTCATTGATTACATAATTATTATCAAATATGAAAATATATATATAATTAGGGAAATTAAAGAAAATAAGCTTATGTGGTAAATTTTTTATTATTTATTCATTTTAAATTGACTTGTTTCACATCAATTTATTGATGTATAATTAATTTTATCTAAACTACATATTATTGTATCAATATTCAATATATCCTTAAATACTTAAAAATGTGATAAGTTTTTATTTTGTTGAATAAGATATTATTTTGATGGAAACGTGTTATAATTTTATTTTATTAGATTTCTTAGAGTTTGTAGATAGATATTGATAGGTTATATGACTCATTTGGATCTCATTTGAATTTATAATAAATTTATAAATATTATATGATTTTAATATAATTTATTAGATAGTTATTTTTTGCCTGATTTTGGATGTATATGAAGACTTTTTGACTTTTACATGTAACTAGCCATTTTATAGTTGTTGGAAACTTATATCTATTTAATATAAATGAATTCTTGATCAAATATAATATTATTAGTTGATAAATTAATATTAGATTAGTAGTTGTATTCAAATTTGACTTTATTTATCATTTTCCTTTAAATACCTCTCTTCTTCTTCATGTGAGGGCTGCACAAAAAAAAAAAAAAAAAAAAAAAAAAAAAAAAAAACTCCAACAATTCTTCCTTCCTTCTTTTCTTCTTTATATGATAAATTTTGAGAGGAGAAACTTTGATTTTAGTTCCAAGAACTCTTTTCATTTGTAAGATCGAATTCTTGGTTATAAAGCTTCAACACACTAAATCTTGTAACATCTCTTGGAGTTTTTACGTTTGATTCACTAAATCTTTATTTTCTATTATTTTAGTTTTCACCATATATTTATTTCTTAAAAATATTTATTATTTGGTGAAATACTAGATGATAATGTTATATTAAGTTTTCTATGTTACATATTTTAAATCTATAAAGTTAGCAAAATAAGTATTTTTATTTTCTTTTACGTGGCATAGATTTATATTTAAAATCTAATTCATTTTTTGATTTGAAGAGTTAAAGTTAAAATCAACAAGAAAATATTTTTATTTAAAATATTGTTTATATTTTTATCAAAATATAATTCTATCTTAATGTGAGCAAATTTAATATTCCATTTGCAAGTAGTGAGGTGATTAAAATTAATTTGTAAGATCATCTCAAATATTTTGGACATTTTATTACAAGATAATTTGAGCTTGTGTTATTTACATCAAATTCTTTTTTCATTTTCTTGATCTAAAACATTTAGCTTGGAAGACTTATTTCACATCAAATTATTTTTTCATTTTCTTATCCTTTTAAAAATAGCTTTAAAATTATGACTGTCTTCTTTTAATAAATTTTTTTTTTAAAAAAATCCAATTCACCTCCCCCCCCCTCCGCTTGGGGTGTCATAGTCATCCAATAATTAGTATTAGAGCTTTGGCTCTTTTTATTTTGGCTTAACATCCTAGAGTAGATCCACTTATAAATTATGGCACAAGGTTTTCCTAAGGGTTCACTTCCCGAAGGACAATCCACCAATCTTCCACCATTATTAGATAATGTTCATTTTAATTATTGAAAAATAGAATTAGTACATTCTTAAGAGGACAAGACTCTCATATGTGGCACATGCTTACACACCGATATCATACACGCACTAAAGAAATTAATGGAATTAGAATTGAAAAACCATTTGATGAATGGACTACATTATAGAGGGAATTAGATGAGTTAAATGCTAGGGCATGCAATACTTTGCGTTGTGCACTTCTTCAAGATGATTATATGAAAATTTCCATGTTAAATTCAACAAAAGAAATTTGGGATAAATTAATTATAACTTTTGAAGATACTACTGAGGTTAGAGATGTTCACATAAATAGACTTTATTCATGAATATGAATTATTTCGTATGTCTCATTCTAAATTTATTTCTGATATGTATACAAGCTTTATGAAAATAATTAATATATTACATTCTCTTGGAAGAATATATAATCATCAAGACTTAGTCTATACGATTCTTAGATGCCTTCCCAAAGAATGGGATGCTAAAGTAATTGTAATTAGTGAGGCTAAAGATTTATCTACTTGTCCACTTGATCAGTTTGTGGGTTCTTTGATAGCACATGAATAAATTATAGCTAAAAGGTATGAATTGGATAGCTCTTCTAAGAAAGAGAAAGATAAACATAAAAATTAGG